CCTCAATTCTTGGAAAGGTACATGCACACCTTGCCTAAACCTCCAAACTGTTAAGGGGTTGTTAAAAAATTTGCTTGTAACTCCTCTGTAGGTCACTATTTTGTTTTACCTCTGTATGATGCTTCTGGGGTTCTCCTTCTTGGTCAATATATTGCAGCACTCCAGTGAATTGAACCTGAGCAGAAAGTTACACCAAGGTTAGAAAATGCCTCAAAGAAAAGTGGAGTCTGTGACTGGGCATTCCTGATTGAAACATATGGCAGTTGCTTTTGCCTTCTTCAGTATTTTAAATTGTCACATTACCATGAATCTAGGAGGCAGGTGAGAGGAGGCTGGTATTAAATAGCTCATCCTCTGTTACACAAAACCCAACGATGCTCCATGTGAGTTTACACTGGCTGGCAGAGACTGCTTTGACTCTGACAAGAGCTGAGTGTGAGGCATTCTCTAGTGACTAGGCTGAATGGCACAAGTGAAAATTAGAGTTCCTGTTGAGGTTGTGACTACCACATTGTACATTGAATGCATCCACTAACACTTTATTGGAAGTGGGGGCAGGCTGTGTTTTAAAATTTTTATGCTCATAAGTAAGCCTCAAATTGGATATTAAGCATACAGTTAAGATTGCCTAACATTTTTTTGTTGTAAGACTTGGTCCCTGCTAATTACAGTTTTGTGAGTCTTAAGCTGTTTGGGCTTGAATTCCCTCATTTATGTGTTTGCTGCAATTGGCTGTTGCCTTTTTTACTTGTTTTGTTTCCAAAACAAGTGTGCCAAAACACATTTTCCCCCAATCTGAAAATAATAAGGAAAAAAAAAGAAGAAAATTCCCTTTTATTCCATTTCCTTTTAGAAGTTTTAGTACTTTTGCAGATGAAGTAGTTACTACACTCACTACATACATAACAAGAAGGCTTTTTTGGTTATTGAGGTTGCCTAATTACATTAAAATGATAATCCTTTGGAAATGAGAAATCAGAAGTTCACATACATTCAAAGGCTACCAAAGATGTGACTTTCACTAAGGATGGTCCATTCCTTTGCCCTTTTACATATTAAGCAAATGGCAACTGCTCCATGAGCCACTGAGCAGACCCTTGAGTGTCTCCCTTCAGGGCTGGGCTGAAAGGACATTGCCTGCCGATCCTCCCCACAACAGGCAAAACAGAAAGGCCTTCTCTGAGTCCCCCAGCACTCCCTCAGTGGAGTGGCAAAATGGCAAAGAACTTAAGGAGAGCCAGACTTTTCTTCTGGTGGTCCTTTTTGTAATGGGAATAGAATCCCAGGAGCAGAGACAGGAACAGATTCTCAGCATCTCTCTGCAGACAGATGCAAATACCACCAGCAAAACATGGGATTTTTTGGGTTTTTTTTTTTTTTGTTTTTTGTTTTTTTTTTTTTTTTTTGGTAAGGGCAAGCTCTTGTATCAGCATCCCTTCTAACAAAGGCATAGAGGACTGTGCTGTGGCTCTTCAAGGCTCCAGCAAGCCAATGAGTCATGTTTTAAGGAGGGCTACATTTTTTTTAAACATTTCCCACTAAATTCTAAGTCAATAAGTCTAATTACACTTTATGCTTTAGCACACTTAGAAGAACAGCATGATTTGGAAATGGCTCTTTTCAGAAAATGGCTTTGTAGAGCACATTTGAAAGTGACTGCTTTCCTGAATGCAAATGTCTGAATTGCTCTAATTATCTAACTGGGGGAAAAAAGGCTATTTTTAGACTGCCAATATCTGAAGAAAATATGAAAGGACAGGACAGTTTCTCCCAGTATTCCTTTTTAGTATGCTATCTATTCTAATTCTAAATACAAATAACCAGTGAGATTGCCAGTACTTTCATTTTATTATGTAGTAATTAGATGCCTTTTTTTTTAGAAGTCTCCTTTAAAAAATCACAATTTTAATTTTCAGCTTGTAAATCCTAATTGTGTTAATTGTCACACTGAAGTTTGGAGCCCCTAAAAGTAGAAGTAATGTGTTCAGGATTTCCCATTACCAAACTTGTCTTTAGTTTGACAGGTAAATAACATCCCTGCAGTAAGTACAACACCTGTTTGCATAAAAAGTAGTAATAGAAAGTGTATTTTTAATTTCCTTTTAATGTAATTTCACAGCAGGGAACTGAAAAAAGAAGCATCATGGCTGCAGATGAACTCCTTTAGACTATGATGTAGAGGCTGAAACAGCTTCTACCCTCACAGGTAGGAGCATCATCAGGACTGCTTCTAGAGACTACTGCTTGGTTTTCTGGGGTGGGTATGGGTCAGGAAATCCACTGCAACTTTAATTTAAAACTCTGAAGCAAACATCAGCTGCAGTAAGGCAGACCTCAGCTATCTCTCTGAGCCTTCTGTTGACAATATCAGGCAGAAAAAAATGGTCTGCATGTCTTTCTTAACTGCAGGAGAAGATGGCCTGTAGGTATCAAGAAAATGGTTTCGATGCTTATCCTGTGAGTACCCACAAACAGAAAAAGAGACACCTATTCTCCTGATTTGCACTTATGAGGAAGCCATGGTCCCTTCCCCAGATGGCTGCAGTAGGAATCTCAGATACAGATGGGTCTGAACAGCCCCTAAAGGAGCTGCCAATCCTGCTCCTACATCCTTACCTTCCAGCTGCCTCTCTTCCTACTATCACACTCTTTGCTGTAACCTGCACAGCTGAGCTCCCATTTAAACTGCCAGTCATCAGCTGGGGAACCAGGTCTCTTCAGGTCCCCAGCTAAATCCTCTTCTGCTCCCGCTACCTCATTATTTTGCAGCTAACAGGACAGAAGGCAGAACAGTGAGAGGTTCTCCCTGCAGCTCAGCATAGCTCTGGCATGTGGTACATGTGCTGGGATCTGTTACAGGGGTGTCTTAGTGTGTAAGAGGTCTTCCCATACAACAGTTAGTTTTGATAATGGAAATTCATTTCTACTTCTCTATATAAAGACTTAAGTAAATCAGGTTTTGCACTTGCCTTTCCTCCCCCATTCACTGGTTTGCTTTGGATGGGATGAAGAGGATGAACTAATTTCTACATGGCAAGGATAAGGGGAAGACCAGATCTCTGGACCACCCTGTGCAGGCAAACTGACATCACAGTGGCACTGGGAACATGGGGGAATTCTGGTGAGTCCCACAGCAGCAATGGCAGGAGCAGTACATGGGCATGGCAGACACAGCCCCAAGCCTTCTTGTCCAGCAGCAGCAGGGCTGAGCAGGTGTTCCAGCAGGCACTTGCACAACCCTGCACTGACTAGCACCAGGGTTATAGACAGATCCAGAGCAAAGCCAGGCTCAGATCCAACCTGGAGACAAGCCTAGCAGCAGGACTTACACTGACACTGACCCCTCTGCACCTCAGGGATACACTGATGGTGCTCATTCAGGGCAGCCCTGGAGTGTGGCTGGATTATCCCAAGTTCTCTGCAGTCTCCTCTGGGCTCAGCCACAATCCCCAGCACCCACCTTCCAGGTTCCCTGCAGGGAGATTGCAGAGGCACACTGTAAGAGTTGCTTGCCTCATTTATAAGGTCAAGTTCAGTCCCAGGGCTGGATATAGAGACAAAGAATTTAGGAGAGGGCTGAAAGCATGAAATCCTTCATATGCCTCAGTATAATTACCTTATTTTTAGTAACATTAAGAGGTCCAGCTCTTCAAAATAAAGAATAGAGGCCATAAGTGGATCTACGAGTACACTAATTTCACAATAAATCAGTGATCAAGTCATTAAAAGTATCCTCTGGTTTTCACAAAGTAAAGATTTGGGGCTCAGAAGTGATAATATAAAAACACCTGAAGGAATAGTTATTCATGGTTCAGTGAAAAAACTTTTTATACGTGTGGAAGTCAACAAAGCATTGTCCCTGGTACAAATCATTACATAACTGTTCATTTTTTCAATATATCTGCTGCTGTAAGTTCCTTAAAAACATATCTGAAAACTGAAAGTGGGAAGGAGTATTTTTTTTCCCTGACTCACTCTCTTGTGTCTTCAATAGCACTGCTGAAGATGTGACTTTTTTCTAGAATAGTTTAATGTAGTTATGATATAACCTTTGGGTCCTCATAATCTCTAAGGATGTGTACTACTTGAGTATAACATAAAAGCTCCCTTCCAGTATGTACTTCAGACATGATAAGACACAACATCAGCTGATGTTGGAAAGTGGAGTTTTCTTAACCTCACATTATACTATGAAGAAACCTGGAAACAAGAAAATTTTGATATAAAAGCTTCCAGAGGGACTTGAATTTCAAGTTAACACTGACATGTCTGTGGAAATACGAACACAGGAGAAGGGTAATTTTCCTAATATGGACTTTTCTAGTGCTTTTCTCTCCATTTATGCTTTTCTTTCCATTTCTCCCTAGTGAACTGTAAATCGCTTAACCCAAAAACTTTTCTTTTAAGACAACAAGGGAGATAGTATATTAAATTCACACAGAGACTACTGTGACTTTATAAACTTCTACTCAGAATAAATTATTACAAAAATACCTAGTGACTTGGTAGGAAGATTTATTTTTCTACTGGTACCCTTAACAGTTAAATTATAATCCCAGTATGCAATTGGTACAAGTGACAACACTGTCAAGAAACTAACATTGGTGGTGTGGATAGGAAGAAGAAATCAAGAAGAATCATTCCTTCTAGCTTGAGTAAGAATAATACATAATGACAGAAATGTCATTGTGGCAGATGAGACCTTACTGAAGTAGTTCAAGAGACTATTGCCCTGACTCTGTATCTGACTTTAGCTTGATTTATCTACTCAGTACCCATTAGCTGAACAGAATATGCAGTATTGCAGATATCGAGTATCAGCTTAGACTGCTCATAAAACTGTGTCTGCACTGGAGCGTCCAAGCTAGAACTGATCATGCCTTCATTACTCTCATTTCCTGCATTACGTAAGTGGGAAATTGTGTGGGTATGCCTCCTCATATTTTCATTTGCTCCACAGATTTCCCCTGCATGTTGACTTCACTGATAACTGAACATTGTGGAAACAGAACGTGCTATAGATTTATTCACTGTTTTTGCATGCAGCAAATTTCTGAAGGATTGATAAAATACTTTTTAAAAGTTTATTAAACCTTGTAATTAAAAAAAAAAAATCTCCTCAAATTTCTCTTTTTAATCAGTTAGCATTTCACTGCAGGACAAATGTCCATGGCAACACTACACACATTTTAAAATGCAGCATAACCCACGAAGATATGTGAAAGGATTTTGTACACATGCATTGTGTTCAAATAATAACTAAAATGTCCAGATTTGGCTCACTGTTATCCAATAAAATAACACTATGATTTTTATTGCCCTTCTGTCAATTACAACCACATGGAGATGGTGGATAGGGATGGTCCTTCAGAAGGAGTCATCTCTCAGGGAGCAAATGGCCTCATTTGATGGGAGAGTGCAGGAATAAACAGGGCCCTTAGAGAGACCTTTCACTGGGAGAGGTTCTGCTTTCACTGGTGACATCAGTGTGAGTATGTTGTGGCTGGATAGGCAGAGTGCTACTCATAAGCAGTGTAGGGACAGGTTTGAAACCAGGTGCACCAATTTGTGTCTGTTTTCAGTCCAACAGATAGAATGATAGTCAAGAGAACAACCATTAATACAGTAAGTAAAATAACATCACTATTTCATGAACTCACACTGGTTTGCTCACTTGAACTTAGCTATTTTTGAATTGTGCATAGGCTGCCTTGTAGCTGTACCAATATGTTCCTTTGGCTGATAACAACTTCGGGAAAAACATTAAAGGACAATAAAGGGAATATATTAAAGATTTCACCCTAAAAATAATAGTTCTATTAAAAGAAGATTTAAATTAACACTTCCAAACATAAAATATAATTAATTCAGTTCACAAATAACTTCACAAACAGATGAACTCCAAATATAGGCAGAGAACAGCTGAATATTTCAGAAATAATGACATATTTGTTTAAGAAAAAGCACTGTTGTCATAAACACATCTTACAGCATACAGATCAGCAGAACACCATCAATACACAGCTGCACACGAGCTTGTGTAAACAACAAAGCACTGCTGCTGGGATTACAGCATCTAGAAAAATATAACAGAGATGAACTCTCCTTTTTTGAGAGGAATGGAGAAGAAACTCCCAACACATTTCTGAAAGTGAATGGATTTTTTATTAACACTGGGGCAATTATTGTCTGATATGGTTTCGTACACAAAGCTCCTTCATATCCTTTAAAGGAGGGACTCATTCTCTTGAAAAGGTGATTTACTCTTGAACCCTATAAAATACTGCCCATGTCTGATGAACCATCAGGTCTTCTTCCTGTGGGGTCTTTATGTCTCTGGTGGGATCAAACAGCTGTAACTGCATCGTTGGAGCAATCTTCAACACCACAAGAGGCAGATACTCCATGCAGATCCCTGTGGATAGAAGGTACCATGAGCAGCTGCCTTTCAGTTCTCCATGTGCTGATTTCCTAATCTTGCTCATTTAAATGAATGAAGATAATACTGAAGAATGAGGAGAAGGTAAAAAAAGTTGTAGCAAATATATTGCCTTAGAGAAAAAGACAAAATCAGTCTAGTCACTAAATTACCAAAATATCACAACAAATAGAGATTCATTTATGGCAATATTAATTAAAAAGGCAGAAACACCTGAAGGATTTAGTTAGAAAATCCACATCAAAATCTAATGAAATTCTTTATTGTTGAACTAGGCAACTTTAGGTCTTAAAACCATCATTCATACCAGCATGTCCTTATTATGGCCAGGAAAAGAAATGTGCTCAGTCATTGACTGACTCAGATGTTCTATTTACATGAAAATTGAGATGTACTAAACCATGGTTTCTTCATCTCAGGCAAATATGTTGTTCACTGACCTATCTTAGATAAATTAATTAGGCCAAGAGATCCAAGTGTTAATCTAGAAATAAAGTCTTCAAATTTTGAATGAAGAACCAAATTACCTAAAGAAGTGATGCTGCTGCACCTCCATCACCCCAGGTCCACCACCTGCAAGGCTGGGATTAAAATTTAACTGTTAAAGGATATCCATGCAACTCATTCCTAGTAGAATTCCTGTGACAAAAAAAAAATCTGGGAAGTGTTTCATATTAGCAGTGAAGCTGTGCAAAATCTTTGATGTTTGCAGTTTCAAGAGACAGTAATAAAACTAGAAAAACTGCATAGAGCCACTTCTTTTGATTGATTTTGTTGAAGAAAGAGGAAACTAGCAATGGAAATAAGTACATAAAAACTGCTGTCAGATAACTGATACTCTTTGTGGACTTGAAATGCCTGGGCACTTTATCTGCCTACCTGAAACCAAAATCTTGATCTAAAGCACATTCACATTTCAGTCAAAATATCTTTGACCCATGTCTACTCACTTTAATATTATAAAACCCTGGATTCATTGAATATCCTGTGTGTCTCTCACAGACAGGACTAAGGGACCCATGGGTGCCTTTTGTGCTGTAGCTAGTAATGCAGTTTAAAGCATAAAAAACCATTTGATACAAGGTTTGTGTGGAATAATCACTGCTTGCTTTTATTTACCACTGATATTTCAAAGTAAAATCATTTCCACTTCACCCAAAATGGATCTTAATCAGTCTTGTCTCTGCCATGCTTAAGTCTCATCTAGGATAGGAGAAAGCAAGTTGTAATCATTGTGAATAGGAGGTGAAATGTATAAGTAACATGTCAACATTATGTTAGTGCATAGTGACATGAAGCCCTACATAGAAGACCGCCACACACCACCTAAACAACCACATCTTAAAAAGCTTAATCAAGCAAGACTAACAATTGAAGATGATTGATCTGGTCCATGATTGAATGTACTCTACCAACTCACATTCTTTAGTTTTAAAACGTTTAATTCCCTGTTAAAAACTTATTAGCTGACGTTCAAGTACACCACAATTTTATTCCATTTTGGATATATAAGCTATAGAAGAGGAGCAGATTCAGTGGAAAGAAAAAAAGATTGCATTCTATTTCAGTCATTCAGATTTCTTCCATTAAAACTTGGTTTCAAAATGTATTTAACTAGAATTTGTCCAGCTAAATAATTGTATCTAGCCCTGAAGATAAATATGTGCATGTTTTGTATTCGGGTGGCAAGGTTTTGGTGGGGGTCTAACAGTAGTGGCTTCTGTGAGAAGCTGCCAGAAGTTTCCCCCACCTCCAAAAGAGCCAATGTCAGATGACATCAAGATGGACCCACTGCTGGCCAAGGGTGAGCCCAGCAGTGATACTGCTGGCACCTCTGCAATAACATGTTTGAGGGTAAAAAAGTTGTTTTACAAGAGCAAATGCTGCCAGGGACGAGAGGAGTGAGAGTATGTGAGAGAAACAGCCTGCAGATACCAAAGTCAGTGAGAAAGGAAGGGAAGGAAGGCAAGAAGGTGTTCCAGGCATGGAAGGGACCAACACTGGAGCAATTCAGGAAAACCTGGAACCTATGGGAAGAACTCATTTTGGAAAAGTTCATAGAGGACTACCTCCCATGGGAAGGGCCACATTCTAGAGCAGGGAAAGAGTGTGAGGAGGCCTCCCCATGAGAAGGAAGAAGCAGCAGAGACACTATGGGATGAACTGACTGCAGCCCCTGTTTTCTGTTCCTCTGCACTGCTTTGGGGGAAGAACTGAAAGAAAATTGGGAATGAAGTTGAGCCCAGGTAGAAGGGAAGAGTCAGGGGGAAGATTTTAAGATTTGGTTTTATTTCTCATTATCTTACTCTGATTTGATTGCATTATTTGAAATCAAAGAATTTCATCAAGTCGGTTTTGCTCTTGATAGTAACTGGTGAGTGATCTCTCCCCATCCCTGTCTTGATCCACAAGCCTTTTTTTCTCCAGTGTCCAACTCAGGAGGGGAAATGACAGAGTGGCTTTGATGAGCACATGGCATCCAGTCAGGGTCAGCCCGCTATACTGCATTTGACATTGTTTTTCTTTTCATCAGTACAAGGCTGCTCTTTTAGAAAGCATAGACTTCTTCTGCATAAAATTTCTGACTTCCGAGAGGAAAATATATGCATGGGTGAGGAGAAATTTAGGTTTAGAGCACCATGTAATCAAGTAAAGGGGAAAGAGCTCTTTGAAGTCTACTAAATAGTGATAACAGTTCTTTCTTCCTGTCATTTCTAAGATTTGGTAAAGCACATGCAAATTAGAGAGAGAAATGTGGGAAAATAAAATTAACAGGAAATCAGGGGAGAAATGGAGTGGGGGTGTTACCTTTCATTTGATTTTCTACATGCAGAACTCATGTAAAAAGAGATATAAGGTGTCTTCAGTTTGAGTCTTCCAATGGCAATGTATCAGGTTGAAAAAGAGAGAGATCTCTTCTTCCCTATGTGGTACTCATCCAACAAAATAATGGAGAAAATTATTACAGCAGTTACACTTTGTGACAGGCAGAATGTCTGTATATCTGCAGTTTCCGTCTTGAGTAAGTTCAATTGGTATATGAATGAAAGTGTCCTGTCATCAGCTACATGGATATTCACTGCTGATGTTGAAGAAGCTCCTCAACTTCACTGCTTCTTGCTTGTGCTTCGAGCTCTGAGCACCAGTATCTATACATTTGAGATATGTCCTTTGAATGTCCTTTATTTTGAATAGTGAAAAGTCCTCCTTGTATTCTTCTCTCATGCCACCTCCAACACATGCAGCACTTTCTTACTTGGCTCCATGTTGAGGTCTCTCTTCTTGAGCATACTTCAAGAATGTCTTCTTTCACTATTAAGTCTATTCAAAGGGATCTTCCACTATTAGATGGATGCCATCTTCTTGTAGACCCTCATCCTCACCTAATGAAGTGCCGTGATCAAATAGAAAAGCTTGCTAGACATCAGTTAGTTCACCCCTGCAGCAGGAAAGTCTGGGCATAATAAAATGAATGTCAATTTCAAATTAATTTCAAAAAACTTGAACATTGTCACTGTAGTCCTTCTAGTGGTGTGACTGCATTGTGAAATCCATGTTAACTGAATGCTCATGGAAGATCGCGAAATTACGAACTCACAGACTGGACTTTGGTATTTATCCCCAGAATGGATAAAGTATGTTGCTGATAATCAATGTACATTTTCATTCTTTTACTACAGGCTTAGACAAGCCATTCAAGGCAAGAAAGTAACATTCCATTTATAATATATTGAGCCTTTTGCCTGTGTAGTAGGATGAAGCGTGGTCACTAAAAAGCAGACACAGAGCTGTAGTGATGTTCTCCCATTCTTGACATTAACCAAGGTTAATACAGCAGCTGGGAGATGAAAAAATATGAATTGCAGTTTTCATTTGAACAATCAGATTTGAAAGACTGTTTTCACCATCCTGTAGTGAATATTATTGTGTGAGATGGAAAATCTAAGAAAATGGAATGAAACACTTAGCTTGGCTAAAAAGCTCTTTCTCAATATCAGTGATGTGACATTAGCCTAGTATCAAGTGATAGAAATTCTTTCGCCTTGCTGATTGCAAAGATTTTAAATTATTTTTTAAAATTGTCTTGATAAAAAAAAAAACATGGTCTGGATATCTGTTAGGGATCTAACCTAAAACCACAGTCGTTCATTACTAGCCTGCTAAATGATCCCTTCAAAAATGAAAAAAAACAATCCATATTAAAAATTAGCATGAAATTGATATTGAAATAAATACATCAAAACGCAGAATTCAAATTTTTGCTTGGCTACATTTCTTTGTGTTTTCATGCTTTAAAACATTTGCTGAGCCAAATATAGGATTTACATATTTCATTATCCAAGTCGTTAGGATGCTAGCCTGGGAGAACAAATGGGATAACATAAGTATGATTACAGCTTATCAAATAACACAGCATCAAAAGAGAACAGCAGAAAATTTCAGTGCAGCATAGTTTGCACTCATCTGCAAAACCAGTTGTGAAGCCTTCAGGTTGTTTGTCTGCATTGAAACATCAAAACAAACAAGGTCTAGGACTTCCAATCACATGTTCAACTTCTCTTCTGAGCACATCATTTAAGGACCACATTCTCTGCTGTTGTTTGCAAGTTGGGAACAATTTACTTTTTACTTCCCCCAGAATGAACGACTAATTTTCCTGTGAATCAGTGTAGCTAACAAAATGCTGCATACAGACTCCACTGACTGCATTGGAGGTAGCTTGTTAAATACAGAAAGAAAAATACTCTGTCAACAAAGGTAGAAAAGAAAAGTCCATCTTACTACAGCTGCTTCCTTGTAATTCAGCTTTAAGTAATGGGAAGACACTGGTGTCTTCCATAACAAGAAAAGAGGATGAGGAACACACAGAAAGGCTTCTTAGAGCTGGGGCTGGAGAAGCCTGAGCAGCAGCCATTGCTCCTCATACTCAGTTAATAAAATTCCTCTGCATGTACATTGCCCAGTGCTTCATTTCTTAATATGAGTAGTAATGGTGTGTTGAAAGACAGTTTTATGCCACAACTCTTGTTAGAAGACACTATGGTCCTGGTAAAATGGGAACCTTGAGCGGGATAAATAACGGGATTTGAGAAGGTAAAGCATCATGTGGCTTGCAAATGAAGAAGCGTATTGCATTGGTAAGGCAGCAAGTAAGAACTTGAAAATAAACAAGGTAATTGTGGCAGATGTAGAGGTACAATGGCTGCCCTGATGAATGTGCAACAATTTTCCAAATACAAGGCTGGTATTAAGAGTATCTTCAAGGTGACAGGTACATTCTGCAGGTCACTGCATAATAGCCAGGAACAACAATTTAGAACCATTTTTACAGTGGGCACACCACCTCAGAAGCTATAGACTGACTGGGAAAAGATGTTTTAAGTTGTTCTTCAAAAAAGGGTTTTAAAGCTGTGTAACCTTTAACACTTGTTACTGTTAGTGAAGTAAAAGCCTCCATCATAGAGCACTTTAACTGAGCACTCTAAACCATACAGTGCACAACACTTTTTGCTACAAAATACATTATCAGGCCATATAAACACCTATAACTGCACTGTCTGCTAGCCACCTGCTGCTGTGTGTTGACACAGTCAGGGTTAAAATAAAGACTGACCACAACAAACACACTTTGTTTTAGAAAGTAGATTGTAACATAGAATCTGCAGCCCTGTAAGTCTCTGATACTTTAATAAACCACACCAACATGACAGAAGCAAATTGTTATAGGGATCCAGCCTTGTAAATGAACTATATTGGTCAGGCTAGCCATGGTGTACCTGGTATTCCAAGCATTCCTGCTAAGTATGCCACGTGTGTAGGGGGTATGTTCTGCAGCCTACCATGTATTCTGTGTATCAAGAATACACAGAAGGTATATTCCATATACCATGTGGAATTCCATACACTTCAGCTGGAGAAAGGCCAGATATTTTAAAAGGCTTTGAGAATTATAAAGTCATATGTTGCAAGTCTTACTCAAGGTACTGCAGAAAATATGTTTGGATTAATTTCCTAGTCTGTGCTGGGGACGTTGGAAGCAGCAGAAAATCAAGGAGGGCTTGTGGCTTATTTACATTCACAGGAAAACTTTAACAGAAAGAGAGACTTTTCATGCCTTCTGGCATGGGACAGCCTGTGTCTGCCCTTAAAAAAACTGAGGACAGGAGGCACCAGACAGCAGTCTGGCTGTGAAGAAGAAAAATTACAACCCAGGCCAAATGATACCAAAGAAATTGAAAGTCTAGGAAAAAAATACCTGTTCTATTACTAGTAAAGGAGATAGAGAATTTAAAAAGGGATTAGTTAACATTTAAGCCTCCTCAGGAACAGTAGTACAGCAAATCAAAGCTGGATTTCTTTGAAGCATTGAGAAGGTGACTCCACTTTCCACCAAGGCAGTCTGCACCTCTGGGCTTCTCCATAGCCAGGACTAGGGAAGATTAGAGAGATCTGAACACATGTA